GATATTAAAAAACCAAAAACTCATTAAAATATGTGAATCTTTCTCTGAAGTTTGTAGTGATAATTCTCTTACCTAAAAGAATAATTTGGGAACATTACAATTTCGTTATTCAGCTTTGTTTGGAATAATTATTTAAATGAATAACTATAAACTTTTTTTTTAAATTAAGGACCATTGAAATAGTACTTTTCAAATAGAAATTATAGGGGTGCCTGGCTGGCTCAGTCAGTTAAGCATCTGGCTCTTGGTTTTGGTTCGGGTCATGATCTCAGGGTCTTGAGATTGAGCCCCAAGTGGCCTCTGTCCTGGGCATGGAGTCTGCATAGGATTCTCTCTCCCTCTCTCTCTGTGCCCCCCCCCCAAAAAAATAAATAATAAAAAATAAACAAGTTTTGTTTTAATTAAAAGAGACTTGGCATAAAAAGGAGGGGGAGAGTGTTTTGACACCACTCAAAGATATTTTTGGCATTTGTACAAGGATGTTTCTCATCAAAGGATGAGTGGCACCATCAGGCCTCCCTGAGATCTTTTGTTTTAGTGTCACTGAAGAATCATTTGTGATGTCCTGGGGGTTAAAAATATGGTGAATGCGTATCATTTGAAAGATAGAGACTGTCAGACTGGATAAAAACAAGTTACAACTATAACTATAAGAAATTATACTGTGCAAATACTAACCAAAAGTGATCATATTAATATTAAAAATGTAGACTTTAAACAAGGAATATTGCCAGGAATGAAGAAAGACATTATATAGTGATAAAAGTTCAATTCACTTAGAAGCCATAGGAATCCTAAATAGTATCCAGAACAAGAGAAAGGCAAAGTGTACCTAAAGCAAATACTCATACAGGTGCAAGGAGAAATAAAGTCCCCTGTCCTGGTTGGAAATTTCAACACTCCTCTCAGTGATCTACAGAAACTCATGAAAATATAGAAGACCTGAACAACACTACCACTCAGTTTGACCTAGTGGATATTTCTATAACAGTCTACCTAATAACAGCAGAATACATATTATTATTTTCAAGTGTATGTGAGATGTTCACCATGATAAACCATATTCTGGGCCATAAAATAAACATTAATAAATTAAAAATAATTGATGTCTTTTAAGATTATGTTCTCATCATAAAGAAATGAAACTAGAAATTGGTAACAGATACATAGAAAATTCCCAAATAATTGGAAGTTAAACTGTATATTTCTAAATAAACCACAGGTCAAAAAAAATCATAGGAGGGGCACCTGGGTGGCTCAGTTGTTAAGCATCTGCCTTTGGCTCAGGTCATGATTCCAGAGTTCTGGGATCGAGCCCCGCATCGGGCTCCCTGCTCCGCGGGAAGCCTGCTTCCCCCTCTCCCACTCCCCCTGCTTGTGTTCCCTCTCTTGCTGCCTCTCTCTGTCAAATAAATAAATAAAATCTTAAAAAATCACAGGATTTATTCCCTTTTGATTTGAATGAAATATTCCACATTCACTCAATTTTAAATGAAAACGAAAACACAAGATAGCAAATTGTGTGGAATGCAGCCAAAGCAGCGCTTAGGGAGATATTTATAGCATTAACTACTTAGGAAAGAAGACAGGTTTCGGATCAATTGTTATTAAATTTCCACCGTAAGAAAGTAGGAAAAAAGAGCAAATTAGGCCAAAAGCAAGCAGAAGGAAGAAAATTATAGAAAAGAAATAGGAAGAACAATGAAATCAAAAGCTGATTCTTGAAAAGATCAATAGAATAGATATACTTCTGGCCAGAGGAAGTTAAGTGGAGAAAAGAGACAGATTACCAATCATAGGGATAAGAGGGGAGATTGCTATATTCAATAAAAGGGTGATAGGGAATATTACGACAACTTTATCCCCACTCACTTAACAACTTAGGTGAATTGGAAAAATTGCTTAAAAGATGCAAATTATCAAAGCTCATTCAAGAAGAAATAATCAGAATAGCCCTATAGTAATTGAAGAAATTGCATTCATAGTTGAAAACCTTCCAATACAGAGAACTCCTCTCCCTCCCCACCAGGTGGCTTCACTGGAGAATTCTGCCAAACATTTAAGGAATGTGTAATACCAAGTCTACACAGACTTGTTCTGAAAGTAGAAGAGGAAGGAATACTCCCAACTCATGAGAAAGAGTATTACCGCAACATTAATACCATTAAAAGGAAACAAAACTACAGATCAGTATTCCTCATGAATATAGATGTGAAAAATCCTCAACAAAATATTAAGTCATTCTTAGCTAAATTTTTTTAAAAACTGATTTTGAGTGTAATACCAAGTATGAAAACTTTAACAATCTGAACACAACCATAATTTGCATTCACATGAATCAGAAGCTAGGACAGATCATCCGTAACTAACTCTGTGATACTGTAAATTCACTTAAGACCTATTTCTGCTTGTCATGTAGTATGCAAGAGAAGTCTACTGCAAGTCTTATTACCTTATAAAGAGGTACTTGGAATTGACACTCTCTTCACATGCTCTTCCTGGATAGGATAAATCTGCCCCTCTTCTTCGGGGCTTATATATCCCCGTGCTTGCATCTGATAGAGTTATTCTTATTTATTAGAAGTGGTTCTGGGAACAGTCAAAATTTCTATCCTCCGAATTTGAGAAGTCTGAGAGGTTAGCTGTGGAAACTGAAGAAATGGTCACCCCAGGGACCAGACCCTGAGATGATGCAGTCTGCTCCACTTATTTATTGCTTGTGTATTTTGAGGCCATGCACACACTTTAGAGGTCAGCTTGAGAGTTATCTGGGCCTCATGTCTTAGGATCTGTGATAAACAAGATGTTCATTTTAGGGATGGCTGATTTCTCTGGAGTTTTCTCAGATCCTTGTTTTTAAGAAGGCGATGCATTCTGTCTTAATCAAAACTCTTCATAATAAGTGATCACGGACTGCATATTGTTTAGAGGTGGTAGATTCCATGGTGGTCAAATAGCAAGAAGGCCTTAGGGTCACACACCCCCTAGACCCCCAAACTAACACAACCTAGCCTCTGCCCCTTACTGGGTATTTTCACAGGTTTTGAGTCCGGAGGAACCTGACCTGCTCAGTTGCCTAAAGGAGACCAGAGAGTCTGCAACACAGGGAGGGAGGGGGCCAGGGCTGCATGACCAAGGGCTTGACGGGTCATGCAGAGGATTTTGGATTTCATTCTAAGTCCAGGGGTAGCCATTGAAGGGTTTAAACGGGAGCAGTGATGTCATCAGGTGTCCATTTTCACACAACCCTTTTGGCCTTGGTGTGGAGAGTGGAAGAGAAGAGGGCAAGATGTCTGTAGGGAGGCCTTTGGGGGAAGCTACCACCATGCAAAAGCTGAGCCCCACCTCCCCTATAGCCTTTTAAATCGAAGGTGGGAGCCTGTTCCCTTCCAGAGTTACTGTGCAAGTGGGCATATTCTTCTCATGACCAGACTTCTGCCAATTCTTACAGACCTGTGTGTTCCGTGCCCTTCCGCTCAAGTCTGTGACATAAGCAGAGAATGTGGGTCTGCGCATTGCCCCCCATATGCTGGAATTGAAGCTCAGAGAGGCTGGCCTCCAGCATGATACTGCTTTTGACTGCTTTATTCTTTAACATTTTAAATAATTTGGCATCACCCTGCATCATATCGGTGTTTGATTTAACACAAAAACTGTCTTCCTCTAAATCTATTGTTGCATGATCTTATTTTATAGACGGGGATCCAAGACATAGAAAGGTAAACTACTTTGTTCAAGGTCATATAGCAAGTGGTGACACCATCTTTGAAATGTAGGCTTTCTGACTGCTTATTCTTTGCACTTATTAAGTCCACTCTTCACTACTGACTGCAAAAAACAATTCCTGGCAGGTGCTTAGGAAATACATGTTGGATGACTTTTATTGGGTCAGTCTGGCACCTGAGATTAGGAACCTAACCTGACCCCTGAGTCACCTGGGTCAGGGCCAAGCTTGAGTTGTGTGAAGCTGAGCAGAGTCCATGCTCCCAGGCATTCTACATACACTGGAATAACTGGCTTCTCCCTTCCTCCTGTGTGCCCTCAGCACTTTGTAGCTCTACTCCAATGGCTAACTAGTACTTTTGGCATATTCATTTGTCTCCCTGCCACATTATGACCTCTGGAGGATGGGTCTTAGGTCAAGGTCACCTCATTATTCACTAGGCCTGGCCTAATTGGTACATGTTGAATGTGACTAACAGAACACTGGGGATTATAGGAGTTGGCCTGAGTCTTGAGCCAGAGAAGACCGACACAGGGCTCCTCCATCTGCCATGCTCAGGGCCAGACCCATCCTTGAACATGAGTGAGAGCCCAGATAGACCCAGAGCTGAGGCTGTTTAGAGGGCCATCCCCAGGGAATCCAGTCCTTAAAGCCACTGTATTGCCCTTGGGTCTCTCAAGGTGACCGTTAGATCCCAGGAAAAAGGAGGTGCCTCAAAGGTGAGCCCAGCTGCAGAAAGCATGGTGGTTCAGGGGCTGTGAGGCAAGGAAGGAGGGAGGTGGGAGGATGCCTTCCATCTTGGCTGTGTTCATTTTCTGGATATAGCTGGTTATTAAGTGCAATGGTCTACAAACAGCTGGGAATCGAAGTCTGGAGAGAGGGAGGGTGGGGGCTGAGGGTGCACGTGGGACCTTGTCCTCCACAACTCTCTCACCCCTTCTTCCGGCCACCTGTAGCGGCCCCGACTGTTCTCTGCACTGTCTGACGTGGGGGCTGTATCTTCCATGGATTCAGTCTACTCACCTCTCCAGTGGAAATTCTGTTCATGTTCACATCCTGTGTTTTTACCATTCATTGAGTCAGTTTAATTAATTCTATATATGTTATGTTCTTTATTTCAGAAAAACTGTACAACTCCAGTGGGCGAGATTTAAGAAGGGCGCTTTTCTCCCTGAAGCAGATATTTCAGGTAAAAAAAAAAAAGAAGAAAAACATGCTCTCCAGTCCTGTTTTTGCACTGCTTATGGAATTAGGTACAGACACGTTTCTACAGCTCTTACTGATTACAGAAAGAAAAGTTTCCTTGGATTAAAATGTCCGTGAGGTCAAAATCTCAGTTGAGAGTATTTTTACCATGTCAAATATTTCAAACATTGAGAAGTAACGACAACTTTATCAAATCACCTTTTTCCATATTTACCTCAGACATTTAAAAAGAAAAACCTACTACAGATATAATTGCGGTCTTGTTTTCTCCCTCATTCCAACCATCCTCTTCCTGCCCCAGGTCCCCTATCTACTGATGGTCATGGGCATGCGGGTTTCTCTGGCGATGGAAAAGCACCTCCAGCAGTAGCTGTGTTCTTTTCTGCTAACTTCACGTATGTTCTGCTGCATGTGTCATACTCCAGCTTATTTATGGAAAGTGGGCTGGATGTAGGCGTGACTGGCCGGTGCAGCTCTGAGTGGTCTTGTGTATGAATACGGCGCAAGTTGCCTTGTTCATTCTTCTCTTGGCAGGCAGTTTGGTTTATCCGCAGGGTTGGCTGTTTTATAAACCAGGCTGCTAAGGACATGTTCCTTATGCATATGTTTATGTCCCTCTTTCAGGGTCCGTTTTATCCTTTTCTCCTAAGCCTGCCTTCTTTCCCTGCCCTGAGGAAGTCACGTGCTTAGGACGGGAGTGCTGACAAGCTCCAAGCCTCTCACTCATGCGAGACTGTAGAGGGGAGAGAGAGAGAGACAGAGCTAGGGGAGGAGGAAGAGGCTGCTGTCTGGGCAGAGTCAGGATGACATTTGGCAAGAACTGGTGTCTCTGTAGGTTCGTTGTTCCTTCTCTAATGATTTTGGACCCTAGGGTATATTCCACTTCTCTTCAGTTCCTGTCTTAGCCACATTCTTAACAAAATTTCCTTGTCAGTGATAGCTCTGTCAGAGTGGCAGTCCCCCTTGTGGATGTCTTCCCGGGAGGGGACTGGCAAGAAGACAGGCCAACAGTCCATCCCATCTGCATATTCTTATCCCACTGGTCCTTAAACTTGTTCAACCATGTCCTTAACCTTCTCCCTGCGCAGAGTCTCTTCTCAGGGTCAGCACTTCTGGACACGAGTCCTCTTGGCTCTCCGGATGGTTATGGTTATGAACCTACCGTGTCATCGCCCCCTCACACTGCACATCTCAGAGATGCCTTGGGGTTGGGGTTTGCCTTTGTTCAGGCTGTTTGTTCTGGAAAAAGTGCAACAGCTGTCCTTGGGCACTGCCTGCTCTTGGTTCTCTCCATCTGTCTATTCTTTAACTTCTACCAGAGGGGCTTGAGGAAATTGTTCTCTTGCTGGTTCCATGTAGCCTTCTGGATTACATCTGAATTTCTCAGTATAACATGGAAGCCCTGTGGATCTGGACTTTGCTGCCCACTTCTTTGCCCTTGGCTGCATCCTAAATTCTACTCACGGTTGCATTCTGGGAGCAAGCCACACTCTTTTCTGCAATTTGCCCCTGGACCTGTTGCTCCTCTGCCAGAATGTGTTGCCACCCCTCACCCACTCTCTGTGTCTCTCAGTTTGTCTCCCGGTGTTCCCTCCTGCCAGGGTCCCTCTCCCTAAGTGACTCCTCTCAGTCCCTTCAAATACCTCTGGAGTTCTTTGTGCTTCTCTCTAGTATAGAACTTAAGGTACTACGGGGCGTTCATCTGAGTCTAGCTGTATGCAAGCTCCCTGGATTTCATCGCTGGGTCTTTGGGGCCTAGGCACGTGTCTGGGTGTGCGTAAGCAATGGGTGAATGGACTAGGTGAATTGGGTGGTCTTCTAGAAGATGCCTATGTCTTCAGTCTTTCCTGTTTCTAAGTTCGTAATTTCCATCTGTGTTTCCCTGTTCCTTAGCTGAACAAAATAAAACTTGTTTACACTCGATTACATCCTTCTTTTTAACTCGGATCCCCAGATGCCACCAGAGGGCCATGCTCCTGCCACTCCTCGCCCTAACCCAGAGTCCCTCAGCCTACTCTTTCTGTTCAGCTTTGACTTCTTTCAAAACCTGTGTTCACCTCACTAAGTGTCTGGCTGAACAGAAAAGACCAAACTGAACAGAAAAGAGTTAGTGATTCCAAGTGACTTTAAAACATTGTGATTTGTGTATTTTGAGTAAATCTACTCTAAGAACAAAAAGAAACCACGCAATCAGCTGTTTATAATAATCCTGCTGCTGCTGGTGGTGTTGTATTGCTGTTCTGCGACTGGTGTGTGTGTTCTTTGTCATTCTCAGAGTTCTTAAGGATTAGGATTCTTGGCGTGTGGGAGAAAGAAGACAGGTAGAAGAAGGGCGCCTGGGTGGCTCAGTCGGTTAAGCATCTGCCTTCAGATCAGGTCATGATCCCAGGGTCCTGGGATCGAGCCCCTTGTTGGGCTCCCAGCTCAGAGGGGAGCCTGCTTCTCCCTCTCCCTGCTGATCCCCCTGCTTCTTCTTGTTTGCTCTCTCTCTCCTCTCTCTCTCTCTATCAAATCAAATCAAATATCTTAAAGGTAGAAGAGGTTAAGTTAAAAACTCTGTATTCCTGAATTTATTTATTGTTAAAAAGATTTTGAGTCAGAATGAGTGAAATTATATGGTATTTGTCTTTCTCTGACTTATTTCACTTTCCTCTAGGTCCATCCATGTTGCCGCAAATGGCAAGATCTCATTCTTTTTTATGGGTGTGAGTGTGTGTGTGTGTGTGTACACTGCATCTTTTTTATTCATTCATCAAAGGATGGACACATGGGTTGCTTCCATATCTTGGCTATTGTAAATAATGCCTCAATAATATAAGAGTGTATATATCTTTTTGAATTAGTGTTTTCCTTTTCTTTGGGTAAATACCCCATAGTGGAATTACTGGATCATATGGTAATTCTATTTTTAATTTTTTGAGGAACCTCTATACTGTTTTTCATAGTGGCTGTACCAATTGGCATTCCTACTCACAGTGCACGAGGGTTTCTTTTTTTCCACATCCTCACTAGCCCTTGTTATTTTTTATGTTATTGGGTTTAGCCAGTCTGACAGGTGCAAGGTGCTAACTCATTGTAGTTTTAATTTGTATTTCCCTGATGATGAGGGATGTTGAGCATCTTTTCATGTGTCTGTTGACCATCTGGATGTCTCCTTTGGAAAAATGTCTTTAGGTCCTCTGCTCTGAATTGGATTATTTGTTTTTTGGTGTTGAGTTGTATAAGTTCTTTATATATTTTGGATATTAACCCCTTATTGGATATATCATTTGCAAATATCTTCTCCAGTTAGTAGGTTGCCTTTTTGCTTTGTTGATGGTTTCCTTCACTGTGCAAAAGCTTTTTATTTTGGTGTAGCTGCAATAGTTTAATTTTGCTTTTGTTTCCCTTGCCTTAGGAGATGTCTAGAGAAATGTTTCTAGGGCTGGTGTCAAAAAAAAAAATTACTTCCTATGTTTTCTTCTAGGAGTTTTACAATCACACTAAAAATAATAAATTTCCCGTGTGAACTTTAGGGTAATCAAATAGTAGTTGAGGGGAAGTATTGTTTGTAATAATCTTCTAGCTTATAAGTAAGGAGGAGTAATAGAATTAAAGTATCAGAATTTTCCAACCCTAAGTGAATGGATCTAGGCATTGAGCATCAAGACCTGCTGACATGGTGGAAATGAGATACAGCCAGATTGTATGTGGCTTCTCATGGGAATTCACATTATCATTGATGTGCTCAAGCCGACAAAATCAACCCTGGATCTCATCATGCCTCTGTTTACAGTAAGCAATTTATAAATGATCATGGACAGAGGCATATGTTAATCTACATCACACTGGTGCAGTCAACAAAATCCAGACTACTGGGCTACTTTTTAGGACAAATGACCTAGTTTCTTTAACATATAAATTTCAAGGGGAAAAAAAAAAGTTAATTAAAAGACTTTTAAATCCACATGTGGATCTTATTTGGATCCTGGTACAAAATGTAAAAAACAAAACAAAAACACAAACACACAACACAAAACCATATTTATGAAACAGTTGGAATTTTGGTCACTGACTGGACATATAATAAAAAACTAATACTTTATTATTAAGAGTACATAGTTTTAAAAAGAGTTTCTGTATTTTGGAGATGCATATTGGAGTATTTATGGATTAAATGATGTGATGTCTGGGATTTGCTTTAAATTAATATGGCAGCAGACAGACTAATTAATATGGGGTGATAGAAGAAACAGGATTGGTATGAATGGATTGGCACCTGGGGTTCACTAAATTGTTCTGTCTTCTTTTGTATATGGTGAAAGTTTTCCATGGTGAAAAAATTTAAAAATAAAACAAACATGTCTGGGGTCTTTGCTGCACATTCCTTTACCGAGTTTGTTCTGTAGTGTTAACTCTGAATTCTCAGGGATGTTGTTTCTATCGTTTATTCATCAGATATTTTTGAGCTGCCTTTGCTGACATTATGTAGGCAAGGAAGAAGGTGCTTGCTACCTGCAGTGTATAATCTGTTTGGAAGACCACACACGTGGGCACAGAACAGCTCAAACCAGGGCAGGCATCATTGGGTGGTGAATGGATTACACAGGCTGCAAGCTGTCTCGGGCTTAGATCGCCTTCTCCCACACCCACAGTCTGCATTTCCATCATCTTGTGTTTTCTACATGCAGGGATTCTTTCTGGAACTTAGAGTATAAAGGGTGTAAAATACAAAGCGCTTGGTCTTTTGCATTGAGTTGAATATTCCTTGACTAATAGGCATTTAAAAAATACAGGTTAAAGTATGGCTAGTGTAGAAAATTCTGAAATGCAGGGATCGTTTCTTATCAGTTGGTGTTAACATTTTGATTTCATTCTAGTGGGAAGCCAAAGTTCTAAAAATCATTTATTAATGCCTAAGTATTTCAGGATACGTGTTCAAAATCTCAGGCATTGCCAATCTGGAGGACATTCTCCACAATTTATTATCCACAAATGTCCATTACTTAAGTGCTTATCTACATATGTACATAAATTTTAGTTAGGGTCTGAATTTTTATAAACACTGTCTCCCCTGTCCGTGATTTTTCCAAGTACCTTTGCCAGGCAGCCAACTCTCTGCTGTATTAATATTAGTGATTAGCTTGAGTGGTTTCTTGAGAGCTTGTTCTCACTTTTTCACCATGAAGTCATGTGTGAATCTAGTTTTAGTTAAAGTAATAAACATTTGTTACATGCTTGGAAAAACGTTCTGACTAGACATGAGCTCATCTAAATGTTCACTTTTCACATATCCTGGTGGAAAAGGATATGGATGGAGGGAGAATTATTTTTATTTCCTTTATACATACGGGTGTAAAGTAATTTTCCAAAAACTCATGATATTGTCCCATTTTCTCTTGCTTCCAAAGCCATGATTATCTTAAAGTCTGAGTTAACACAGCTGTCTTTCATTACCTTCAGGGACAAGCATCACTCCCCCTCTCCCCCCAGTGCCCTCTGAACGTTGAGAGTGTTTTCTGGGTTCAAAGGGAGCCTTCGCCTGGCCTGCCTACATTTAGCTCAAGTCCTCCATCCATATAATTGGAAAATGCCATAAAATCAAAATGAGGGGCTGATTTCACAGAGGGACAGGAGAATTATGCCCGTTTGTCTAAATTATTTTTTTCTTTTTTAGAGAGAAACCATGGTTGCTGACCATTCCTATAAAAAAACCCTTCATTATTCCATTAAGCTTTCTACTATTTACATCACTGAGGGTTTTTTTTTCTAAATTTTTGCTCTGTTGTTATAATTGAATATGAATATTCTAGTCTTAGGCTAGCTGCATTTGAGACCAGGCACTGTCCAATTGAGGAAATCTCCTGGAATAGTAGTGGAAAAATCGCTCTCATAGAGCTCTGTAGAACTTGGTACTACAGAAAATGATGGGGCTGGCTGGACATAGGTGATCTCGGCCAAAGTTTTGCATCTTTATCTGTAAAGAGAAGGTAGGCTTATGTCAATGGTCCATGAACTGGCTGCCCTTTAGGATTTCCTGGGGAATTTAATAACAGCTAGGGCCCACCCCTAATAATTCTGATTAATCCATCTGGGTAGGGTCCTGCTTCCTACTACTCCTTTTTAAAGCTTCCCAGATAATCCTAATGTGAAGGAGTCAGGGGTGAGCATCATCTGAGCACCTCCAGGTCACCTGGAGGATGTGTTAAGCGCACAATGCTGAGCCTCACCGTAGAGTTTTCTAGGTAGTCAGTTGGGGTATTTGTATTTCTAACAAGTGCCCAGGCGACGCTCATGCCGCCTGCGAGTCTGGACACCCCTCTTTGAGAACCACCAAATTAGATGGTCCCTGAGATTCCTTCCACATCCTGCCTTCTGGGACGGGAGTCTGCTGGCCTGCTGGAGTGGCCCCTTTGTGGGGTCACGTGGCTGCCCCTGACGCATGGCTGGTTGTGTGCTCTGTTTCCTCACTTAGATACCATTTGCAAGACCCTTGTAACCACCGACCTTAAGGACTGTCTTTTGGAACACACGAGTGGCTTTGAATCCTCTGCTTGATGGTCTGTGCTGCAATCGAACATTTCCTGTTGCTGAAACCCAGCAAGCTTCATGTGGCCAGTCCCTAGGGACCTGTGGGGGAGCAGGGCTTGGTGATTTTTGAAGAATGAAAAACAGAACACTATAAATATTCCTGACAGGGGATTCATTTGCTTTATCTTTATTAGATTGCCCAGAAGGCAATAATTGGTCTCTGGCAACCAGCAATGTGGAGACTGGTTGTAAAATTCCTCTGGCAACAATTGTAGATGCCTCATTTGAATAGAGCAGAACAATCTTTAGAGGTCAGTCTGGCTTCAAAGGCTCGTCTGTAGTTTTAACAGCATGGATGGAGGAGGGACTGGGGCAGTATTTGAAGTCTTTTTTTCTCCCTCCTTTCCTGCCAGGATGACAAGGATTTGGTGCATGAATTTGTGGTGGCTGAAGGTCTGACGTGTTTGATCAAGGTGGGAGCCGAGGCGGACCAGAACTATCAGAACTACATTCTGAGGGGTAAGTTATGACATCCCTGCTGCAAGGGGGGCCTGGCATTGTCTCCAGGAACTTCGATACTGAGAGCTTTTATTTTATTTTATTTTTTTTTAACATTTTTTTAATTATGTTCGATTAGCCATCATTAGTTTTTGATGTAGTGTTCAATGATTCATTAGTTGCGTGTAACACCCAGTGCTCACCACCACAAGTACCCATTACCCGGTTACCCCATCTCCCCATCCCCTCCCTCTGTAACCCTCAGTTTGTTTCCCAGAGTCCAGAGTCCATACCAAGAGCTTTCAAAAAGACTTGGATTATGGAATAAAGTGATAAAGACACTCTATGGCAAAAGATGACACTTATATCAGATTTTATCACTTCCTAGTAACTAATTAGTGACGGAGCTAACCTGACTGGTTTTTACCTCACCTCTCTTCCTGGTTATTAAGAAAAAACCCTACTTCACATTAAGTTCTTGACAATCTCTTTCATTTGGTAAGGAAAAGGCCACACTAAGTGGGCCTGCATTTCAGCAGGAAGTCACCCAAAGCCAAAGAGGCCAATTTATTTCCTGGGGAAAAATTTTTTTTTCCAACTTGGGTTGTTACTGGGAGCGCTTGTCAGAAGCTCACATTCCTCACTGGGTCCTCATGTTTCTGACTCGGTAGGTTTGGGGTGGGTCCAGAACTTGCACTTTAAAGAATAATTCTGAAAGCTATCGGTCTAACTTCCCTCCCTCCCTTACTTTCTTTTTTATAAAGTGAGGCACGTGTTGAGTTTGAAGCAGTGATCATTGTTCCAGGTCATAAAGTTAATGGTCTTTGGTTATAGTAATTTTGTCCACCTTCGTATAAATAATTTTATTTGATCCCATAAAAATGTGACACGGGAGAGCAGGAATTAGTAGGTTGGACTCTAAGAAGTCACTGCTATCGAGTTTTGACTTACCAAAAGAGAGTTTAAATGTAGTTCAATCGTCATTTTGTAACTGAAGGATTTGAGGCTCAAAGACGTGGAGCAGCTGTCTAATACAGTCCGTTTCTCTAGGGCATGGTCAAGCGGGGGCTGTGCGCAGACCCCCGTGGCACACGTCTCATCCGGGTTTTGTTTCCTCATCTCCATGTTTACCTGCAACCCCACAGCTCCATCTTCCTTGTTCACAGAAGGGGAAAAAGAGTGCTTTGCCTTTTCCCTTGGGTGAAGGATGAGTATGTGAAACGTGATTTACTACCAAACGTCCGTGGTTAGACTTGAATAAGACAGGCAGAGTGTGTTCCTGTCGTGCTTTACCCTGAGAAGGAGCCTCCTGTTGTGTTATCCAGCACAGCCAATCGCGGCCTTCCCTCTTGGACCCTGCCCTGGGGAGCCATGGCCGCAAAGAGCGAGAGAGAGAACCTAGGGTTCATGGAGAAAAAAAACTTTAAGGACACATTTTTGAGTCCATGCTAACCATTTCTGTTCTTGATAGATGCCAAATGTGTGCATGAGAGAGCATTCTTCAGCCTCCTGGTTCCGCTCCACCGCGTTCGGGAGGCTGGGGAGTGTCTCCTTTTGCCCACCTCCCATCTTTTCCTGGGCGTGTGTAGATCCTCGTTACAAGTTGTCAGTAGAGATGGCTTAAGGATGAATTTGATGAGTTCTATCCCCACTGTAATTAAAACATGGAAGCTTCTACGGGGTGTGTAGACAGATGAACCATACACTTTGTCCTGCTATTTCCTCCCAGTGTGGCTGTCTTTGTGACTGAAGGGATCCTCATCCTTAGCTTTCCTTGCACACGAGTCCAACACCTAGAACGGGAAGGCACAGAGATAAGGGTGAGGGAAATTCCTCTAGTTTATTTTCCACCTGGCTGATGGATGTTGATAAGTCGAACCACCTGGAAGGAAAGAAACCTAAAATTACCTTATTCTGAATAGTGGATCCACACGATATGGTTTTGTTTTGTTGTTATGTTTGAAGTATATATACGCACTTCTCTATTGAACTAATATTATAACCATCTACATGTTTATCTTTCTTCTTCTGACCCTTATCTAGGAGCGTATATATGTGTTTTTATAGTGTAACACCAGGGTAAACCTCTATATTGATCTACAGCCAAGCTTGGGTTGAAGGGGGATGGCTCTGCTAACTGGGATCAGCCCTTATCGGGAAGGTCATATTTTTTTTTTTTAAGATTTATTTATGAAAGGGAGGGGAGCACAAGGGGAGGGGCAGAGGGAAAGGGAGAGAAAGAATCTCAAGCATACACCTCACTGGGTGTGGACCCCGATGGAGGGCTCAATCCCAGGACCCTAAGATCGTGACCTGAACTGAAATCGAGAGCCAGCTGCTCAACCAACTGAGCCACCCAGGTGTCCCAGGAAGGCCACATTTTTGTCAGAAGCCCCTTGCAGACCTTTCTTACAGGTTGGAACCAGGCCACCTGTAGCTGTAAGGGAGGCCAGTGGACAATTTGGCTTCCTGGACTCTGAGAGGAGGCAGCAGAAGAGAAGGGCATGGCTCTAGGGCTGAGGAATGCGGTTACCAGTGTCTGCCACATAGGTGGAGTTGGGAGGAAAGAACTCAGCCTTGCTAAGAAAGTTCTTTTTAGTGAGCAGCCCTGTGGTGGCCCAGTAGGAGGGAGGGAGGGCCTCCCTGCCACGGAGGGAATCGTGCTGGGGCAGAATAAGCTCAGTGGCTGTACAAGGCCCCAAAAGGTGAGCTGTGCAAATTGTGCCTCCTGGTAGGGAAAGATGGTCCCGATGCAGAATACTTCAGTGAGGCTCTCTACCTCAATGCTTCTCATTAAACTGGCGATGGTTATTTTATTTTATTTATTTTATTTTATTTTATTTTATTTTAACATTTTTTTAATT